AAAACTCGCTCATGAGATAAGTTCTTAAATATCAGAATATCGTTCTAAGACATATATTTTAACATTTACAATTCATTTATACACTTTAATTTTACATTATATACACCGTTATTATACAATCTAGACTTAGCAAGCTTTTAATTATTATTTACAGAACCACCATCGTTCAAAATTTTCTGTTTCTGAACCGGTTTGCTCGAGAGCTTACTGTGATAATTTTGAGATTTTGTGTTTGTCTTCGTTATTTCGTGACGTACACTCGGATTTGAACTTTTTGGACTGTTTCTTCTATAATAACTTTTCCCGTGTACGTGGTGGAGTTAGTGTGATATGCCCACGCCTTTCTACATCTATATTATAGTTGTAGCACTAATGGGTCGGCTCAACCTTTCCCAGGGCTTATTATCATCCATAAATTCTTTAATATTAAAATAACCCTTTTTATACAAACTTAGTTTAATAAAGTTTTTGAACTATGTGTACTTACGTCAAATTTTGTACATTTTCTGGCATTTTGTTATAAAAGCGTATACATCACCTCAAAAATTAATTACTGATTCTATGGAGTCGATTAACTGGTACCGAAATGGCGGGATACTGAAATTATGTAGTGGTTATTTTAGCACGGCCTTGTATATGACTTTTTTGCCTACAAAAATTTACTTTGACAAAGTGAAAAAAACTGGTTTTATTCATGATTCATGTAATTTAAGGAATTTTGAAAATAAAAATGAAAAATTAAAGAAATAATACATTAAAGGAATTAATGATTCGATTATTAGAATATTTTTACCGATTATTTAATTATTTTGCCGATTATTCGCATAACAATGAATTTTAATCATCCAAACACTACGGTAATATACATAGCGACATGTCATTGAAACGACGTCAAGTTAAAAAAGTTAATGCTGGTTATTTTTTCACATTTTCCTTTATTTGAAAAATTCAAATTTAAATTAGTGATAAAAAAAACTATACACGCTGTAATAAAATATAGATAACCTCATAATTCTTCGGATTTACGTAAAAGGTTATTTTAAATCCTGTGAGTACGCTTGTGCAAAGTTATTGCGGAATGATTAATGTGAAACGTCAAAAGGTATTTCTTAGATTTGGTTGACTATAATTTCTGGTGATCTGGATATATGGCATAAGTTAAATAATAACAAATGGATTTTTATTCAAACCAAACCCACTAATTTATCAGTGGAATGTAGTAATAATTTAAGCTAATACACTCTATCCGGTACAGGCTTACTCACCATTCCACCTGATTGCATAGCTTTCCATAAGAATCTGAAATTAGAAACTAAACTCTACCCTAGTATAAATTTTCCCGGAATATATTCGGATTTTAATATAATTAATGACAGTTGTTGTAAGTTAAGTAACTTTAAAAAAAATTCATTTAAATTTACGTCTTCTATAAATGTAAAAACTTTGAATTTTAGAAAATTTGAAATCTTATAACACTGATTCCGATCAAATTATCAAACGACTAGACACCCTAGAAAATCCAAACTTGTATAATATTAGTTTCTCTATAATAAGTCTTATATCTGTAACACTTTGCATTTCTATTATAAATTATATAATTTGTAAGGGAGGAAAGTCTTTCAGAGAGCATTTTAATTTTAACAAAGAAAATACAGAAAATCATCATCACGCTGATCAACTACAGCTACGCACAGAGTAGCCGTAAACTCACTCAAGGGTGAGTTTCCTCTTAATAATTAATAAGAAATTGACACATAGAATACTATAACACAAAATAGAATAACTGTCAACTTTATTTTTTACGAAGATTGTCGTCGCCAAACCCAGTTCACTGTGTTGAGAGACTGAGTAAATTTACACATTTTAGAATTTTGATTAATGTTCAAGATCATCCTTTAAAAAATCGCTTAAATTTTAATACATATTTATTTTTAAATAGAGTGCAATTTGGCATTTTCTAAATAATTTGCATGCGAAATTTGGAATCGATTGTAACGTCAAAACACATCTCGTGTCGACATTTATACGTGTGAATTGACGTGTTAGTGACATGTTAGTGGCTACGCGGGCTCCGCCCACTCCCCCGTTCTATTATGTATGTATTATAGTATTATATGATCTGATACAATTGAAATAGGGACAATTTAATGTTCTTAACCTTTGTCGAGCCTTATCTTCGTGAACAGGGTTCCTTAACTTAAAATAATATAAGGCACTACCAATGGCTTTCGCATAGATGAATGATTGGTCTCGCTGCGCTCGACTAGATACCGCGCTATCTAAGAACAATAGCTCCGTGAATGCGGCAACTCATTATTGTAGTGTGCGTAAGACATCGTCACTTGACTATTGTCAGTTGTGTTACCAGCTGCTCAACTGTTACCCGAGTTAATGGGAAAAATATTTTATGCTGTGGTCTATTAATTAAGTCTCAGAAAATACTTAATAATGAACAATTAATTAAAATCGAATAATATATATATATATATATTTTATTATATATAGGTTAGGAGTATTTGTGTATAGGTTAGGAGTAGGTTTCTTCTTTAGAAAAGAAAAACAGGTTAATAAAAGAATAAAATTTATTAAGTAGGTATTAATTATTTAAAATTACATTCCACTAACTTGTACAAGTTTACGATACATTTGCCTTTTGGAATTTACACATATTTGCAAATTTTCTCTTTTCGATATATAATGAAGACGAATTTGTAAATACTTCTCAACTACTAGCCGAATCAAATTAATTTGATGTATAGCACAATTAACGTAGCTTGTGTCAAAGTCGAAATATTGTCTAGAACCCGTCCCAATAAATTTTTTCATTACATCAATAACAATTTTTTTATACATTAAATCTGACTTTATGTGGGACACTTTATCTATATTCTGTATTATGGATTCTGAAACCATGCATATTAAATATACATCTTCAGAGGCATATGATAATCCACCTCTGTCTTTTAATGTCACAAATTTATGAAACCAACTACGATTATTTGCAGTTAAATTATCAATACAATGAATGCATTTCAATTTTTTGTCAAAAACTGGACAACAAAACCAGCTATATAACCAACAACGATTTTTAAAATTCGACATATATGGCACATCCAAGAATTCTGTGATCTCGTCAAATTCATCTTTAACCGTTTCTAGTGCAGTCAACAATACTGAATCTTCTTCTTCAAAACGTTCACACATGGTAGTTTTATTTATACATTTAAGCGCTGAGGAGCAATTTAAAACAGCAATATTTTGTAGTGGGATGCAATTTCCAGTATTGCTTGTTTTCAATTCTAAGTGACACAATAGTTTTCTATATATGACCTTAAATTGTTTAGTATTCGGATTATCATTGAGACGGCCATGCATTCTGATTGCACCAAACAATAATTCAATATGATCCTGAGTCAACTTGTAGGATGAAATGAATTTTAATAAACCCTTATCTAAGAGATTAGTTATGTGTTTGAAACTTTCAATACACACTAACATTCCTAAAAATCCAGTATTTGCTTGAGTACTTAAACAGACTTAAAGCTTTTAATAATGATTTTCTTTTGCTGGTTGTGTTCTTTAAAAGAACGTTTTCTGGAGGATTTTATATTTAAGTTTGTAATATATTGTTTTGCGTGTTCTAAATAATTAAGAATATTATCTTTATTTCCATTATATATAGGATGATTAAATTCATGTTGCTTCAAATCTCTGTCATTGAATATATCAAATAAATTATTGCATAATAAAATGAACTTCTCTGTTGCTTCACTCCTTTTGAATTCGGGTAAATATAAATCTTCTCAACAGAATTTCAGAGCGATTGCAACGCTTCTGCTTAACAATTGGGAAGCAAACTTTACTTTCATTACATTATTACAAAACTCTAAATAACGTTTCGTAATTTTATTAGCTAAATTGAGGCCTTCTTCATCTTGCAACTCGTTTAGTTTGTCTAGAAAACCCCAATCAATTTCATTTTCTTCGTCATCTAGAAAAGTCTTTTTACTTTCGAAATGATTTCTGATCAATTTAAACATATGAACAGGATCAAGGAAAACAGCCACTTCGTCATTTGAAGAAGGATGTTTGAACGTAGTCTTCAAATTATTGGGATCCTTTATTCGACAACCTAATATTTCCATCGCGGAGATATTCGAAGGATGTCCATCGAACGTAATTGATACGACACGTACACCCACTTCATGGCATTTACTTAAACATAGCGATATTAAGTTCGCTTTTTGGGATCCTGTTAGGCCACGCAATAAAAAGTACCCTACAGGCAGTTTCCAGTGCTCAGTTAAGCGAACCAATAGGAACACATATGCCTCTGATGCTAATACAGAAGTGTTATTTACACCAGTACCCATATCAACATAACCGTGATTTTGATTGCGGTCCCACATACTTTGTTGGCGTAAAGCCATTTCATCAGCTATCAGCGCGCAAGTAACATTGCCTTTATCAGCTTTTAGTTTTAATAACATGAACGCTTCTTCGCTTAAAACCTGCAGCACCATCAATGTTGCGATACCATTTGCCTAATGTTTTGGCATGTAGCAAACATGTGCTAAATTTACTTCTCACGTAATTATATGCAGATGGAGAGTAAAAGTTTAAAGTTAAACAAAATTTCTTGAGTTCGTTAGTATATTTCGGCAAGACTTTATTTTTATTTTTATGCTTCTTATATATGTTATTGAACAAATCTGCAAATCTGCTGCGACAACATTTTTACTGAGAATATATATATATATATATATATCATTACCAATGAACCGTTCTTGCTTTAAAGATTTGATCATACTTTTTTAAATTACAGTTAGCTTTTTTTAATCGACGAGTCTTTTCACGCAAGGTTTCAATTATTCTCCCATGTTTTGATTGTAAAATAGTTTTCTTGTGAAGCTCTTTTTTAAGCTTTATCTTTCTCGGTGTATCAAAAATATAATCAATGTCGGGAAAGTTATCTAGTGGTGAAGTTTCATTAACAGTAGTTAGAATGATTCCTTCGACAGCTGTAATGATGTGCTAGGTTCTACAGTTAGCACACTGCTGTTAGAATTGACAACTGGAGCTGGTGTGCTTGGTTCTGCAGTTACTGCACTGTTGTTAGAATTGACAACTGGAGCAGTGCTTGGTTCTGCAGTCACCGTACTTTTGTGAGAAATGTTGTCCGGTAGTGTTGAAGATAAAAACAACGCGTTCTGTGGTACAGCTCCCTTACACAATCTTTTTAAACCACCTTTTGTAAAGTACAAGTCGCTCTCATTGAAATGATTGGAACATATAACACTGTGTTCTCTTGGGTTCCACCAACTTTCTTCTCGACTAAGTCGTACTTTAGCAGTCCAACGCTCAAAAATGACAGGATCAGCAGGAAATCTGTACCAAGCAAACATAATACGATGATAATAATGACTGCATTCGTGGATCTTTGACAGTCGTTACGGGTCGTCAGAAGCTCGAAAGTCTGACAACCAGTCTTACCAAAGGGGTATCGTATTACCCAGTAACTGGGTTGTGGGGGTCAGATAGGCAGTCGCTCCGTGTAAAATACTGGTATTCAGCTGCATCGGTTAGACTGGAAGCCGACCCCAACATGGTTGGGAAAAGGCTAGGCAGATGATGATGATGAATAATGACTGCATTACACATATACTTAATCATTATAAAAGCAACTCTGTCTGTGACGTTTTCACAACTCAACCACTGAACTGAATTTGGTAACGTTTTGTACGGAAACACACGCTTGACCAAATTATTTAATTTAGAAATCTTCCCCGGCGTGCGCACAACAACTCACCTAAATTTCATCTCAAAGGTTAGTTTTGTGAACTAGGTCAGATTACAAAAAAAAACTACCACGTGCTGAACCTAATAATACCCACGCGTTTTAATTTTTTACAGTAACCAGAGTATCCCACCCAAACCCAGGTAGTGGTAGTAGTTATTTAACGACTTATTTAACGACAGACTTTTTATCTGAGGATTGAACAACCGGCCCTAAATAATTTATAGAACTAGGTTAACTATACAATAACTAGGTTAGATAAATGAAATATGTTATTTGTTAAAATACAAAAACAATAAATTCACATACGAAAATCTCAACCACGGGGAACTTGACTCTTGTATACGCGGCAACACTGAATGGCGTTTAGGGTTCATGTTATTTTATGTTGAAATTTCGAAATTATACGATACTTACTGATGATATGTGATCCCAGTGTCTTTCTTATTTCTTGTAGTATTATTTTTACACAGTTTCACTACGCATACTGGCATTTTACTTCGGGTTATGCCCAAAATTTAATAAAACATTCAACACGTGCACGGCACAGACAGCTTGGAGTGCGAATGGCTCGGGTACGCCGACTTCGGCATAGTATTTGTTGCCGCATTTGTCAAGCACGCCGGCGGTATCTAGTCGAGCGCAGCGAGACCAATCATTCATCTATGGGCTTTCGATTATTTTAGTGAATATTCATTCATCCGAAAGACACCCTAAAAGATCTAACTTACTAATCAAACACTACGTAAATAAGGGTCCTAAATAAGACGTTCACGCCATAAATATTTACAAACGGCCTACAACTAAAACTTTAGAAAGATCCTTGGGAAAGATCAAATATATTTATTACTCTGGTGTCATTAATTTTATATTATTTTATATAAACGGGCACTTTTCTCCAAAATTTATATGAATATAAAATATAATATATAGATAGAAGGGAGAAGGGGGTATCGTTACAGTATCACCCGAGTCCGGCTATTACTACATGCGCTACGGTGAAGGAAAATATCGTGAGGAAACCTGCATGTCTGACAAATAAAGAAATATTTTTAAAACATGTAAAGTTCGCTAACACGCATTGGGGCAGCGCGGCGGACATTTCCTTGTATTAAAACCCTCTCAGAAACGAGAGAAGGCCTGGTCCTGCAGTGGGACGTATGTAGGCTGTAACTTTACATATATTATTGGCCGGTGTTTATTTATTATTCTTTAGGTTTTAGATGCGTGTGCTCTAAGCAGTCTGTGGGTTTTAGAAGAGTATTTCTTCTCTTTTTTGGTATTGTCATGGAAAATTTAGTCAGTGCGTCCCCATAGCCACATTATTTTATCATTTGCTATTATGAACTCGCAATATCTGTTGCAATATAGTTATATTATTATTAAACTACATTTTGTAGTAACAAAATATATACATAATTTATTTTAAAGCTACGCAGGGGCCGTGCAGAGTTTGCATGGAACGTCCACCTTTGGTAGCATAGTTCTCTAAAAATGTAGTTACATTGAAAAAGAAAGCAGTGCAAATACTCCTAGAGATCCCTCTAGGATTACTTGCACCGCATATTTCTAGGAGGATTCATTGGATTAATGCACACTTCAAATGACAACTTAGGGTGAGTGAGCCAGACAAACGAACGTAGTGTAACCATTTCATACGTAAATAAAATATCCAGTCCGGCGAGCAAATTGCGCGGCACGATCAAATTTCGAGACGAATGGTACTAATCAATCCCAGGCGGATTTTGAAGCGGTCAAGCCTTACGATTAAGGCAAAGCATCCCTATAACGGGAGCTGCCCACGCCCAACAGTGGACTCGTAAGATTTGATGGAGGTGAAATAGAAGAAATCATAAATAAGACATTTTTATTTCAATTTTCATTTATTTCGAACTGTGAAAAACTTTTCACATTTTCGTATGAACACTCAACACATTTTATAAATGCTTCCTAATAAATTGACAATATATCTCTTCATCTACATTAAATAACAAGCTGCCTTTTAAAAATGCAGAATATTGAGCTATTTCTAACTAAATATACAGTTATTTACAAACATTTATAATATTAATAAATAAATTTATTACTACCTAAACTTGGTATATAAATTCAAATTTGTATCTACAAATTGTTAAATGGCACTAATCTTCAAATAACCTAATTGTTAATCACTTTTTCAATCCTATATATTTTAATTATCTTACAATTTTTAACCGACTTCAAAAAGGAATAGGTTCTCAATTCGAGATGCAGTATCATACTGCGAGATGTTCTTTTTTCTTTTTTCTTTTTTTTTTTTTTGTACATATGTTACGCGATATTTTCGAAAATTGAGTACCAATTTTGATGATTATACTTTTTTAATAAATAGGTTATGCTTCGAAAGTGGTCCCATATAAGTTTGAAGAAAAATTCCACCCCTAAGGGTTGCAAATAAATAACTTTCTTTTAGCAATTCGAAGTCGGTTTTTACATTTTGTTAAGTTATAATTATAAAAGTTAAACACTTAGTGTGTAAGTACGTCTAAAAACACAAATAGCTTATATCTTTATTTTTGGAAAAGAGTCTTTATATTGAAAAATAACAGCCTATATATTTTTGGTCACAGGCTTTCTCTCATTTAAGAGGTAAGACAGAAAACTTAATTGGTTTTCCGTTTTAAGGTTAATTATATTTTTATTATTTAAAACATATAAATACGTTTTTAATTTAATACGACGTAACTTTGACATTATACCATAAAGGTATTCCCAAACAAATTCTATAGAAAATAGTTGTTTATAAAAAGGCATTGAATTGTAAGTACTATAAAAAGGGGTTTTCATTTGACTCGATTGAGATGTGATGCGAATAACAGACCTAATCTCACCAAATATAATCTCACATTTAAGACTGCATATTGTGCACAACTCTTACGAGATAAGATAAAATATAATTTGATCAGCTCAAAATTTTATCAATATGTATATATTATGTTTTTTTTTTTAATTTATTTAATGTACAGACATCACGATACAGAAGCAGTAACTGTATTGTGATGTATCGTGATGTATATTTTATGTATATATTTTTTGCACAAAATATTTAAAATATAGATTTTTTATATAAACGGTTTATAAAATATTTTAGATATCACAGAGCATTTGATATAATTTAAGGTAGTTCTGTTTGTGTGTTGTTTTTCTTTAAAGTTTTTGTCCTTCCGCAGAAGTAGTCCTCTATTTCTTGTAACGTCTTTCCTTTTGTTTCCGGTAAAAATATGTAGAAAAATACTGTTCCTGAAATCAATGATTTAGTTATTATTTTCTTATCGTGGTCCTAAAGTGTTACAGTATAGATACAGATAAAAATTAGGCCACTTTGCTAATGATCTCAATTTTACGAATCTATACAACTAAATTAAATTGAAGTGTATGTTATAATGTTAAAATAACAGCTTTTTACTAAATGCATATGAAAGTATATACGGTACTTATAAAAAATAGTTTTGTCTGCCTGTCAGTTTTTGTGTTTGCGGCTAATTTTCGAAACGGTAGGACTGATTTTGACGAGACTTTCACTGGCAGTTAGATTTTGTTTTAAGGATTAACTTAGGCTACTTTATTTGAAAAGAAAAATTAGGGTACTGTGAAAAAAAATTAAAACCCATGAAACCCAACGTAATAAATTCCACGCAGACGTAGGAGTGAATGTTCCTCACGCTAGTGGAAAATATTTTTTTATATTTATCTTTTATTATGAAAAGATAAATATAATAATATATTCTTCTAGATCTTTAAAATAAATTTATATTAAGTTAGCTAAGACCTTTTATATGTATACTGTGAGAGTAAAAATAAAAAATAACGTAATAGAGAACGTGATTGTTCACATAACTGAATACTTTTTGTGTATATGACTTTTGTAAAATATTTTATTTCATTCATACCCATAGCTTGCCTCGTAGTGAGATTTTGCAATAGTTGCCACGCCAGCTCATGTATATATAATATTACTTTTAACTGCTTAAGTATGATTATTATAAACAGCATTCAGTTATTTTTCTTCTTTTATATAATTACATTTTTTTAATTTTATACAACATATGAGTATCTAATATTGTAGTGGCAAGCTTTTACTATGTATTTGATATCTTTGGAAATTTCATTGGTTTAGGATTACTTTTATATGTTTTATAACGATATTTTACTGTACTGTATGTTTCCCTTAAAATCACCTTGTTTTAACTTCCCTTTATCGCAGTTTATGACACCCACTCTATAAAGTTATTAAAATCAAGCACATAATTAGTGCCATCAGGCTCTAGTCCTTTTGGTGATAGTGAGTGTGGGAGGTAGGCAGCAATGCTAAACGTTTTTCCGGAAATAATGTCTTGCAAATATAAACAAAAAAAACGTTAAAATAACCCTCCTCTATTAACCTCCCCCCCCCATTACCAGCCAAAACTAACCCCTTAAGTCGACATCCGAATACTGAATCATTAACAATGACGAATTTCAATTGTCTACATGAAATAGTCCCTCAGAATAACGTTTTGACACAGAGAACCAAAGTTATTTCGTAACAGTTCCTTTTTATGTTGTCAAAACTTTAGTAAAAACAACATACGCATATATAAACTTACCTGCTAACGACATTACGCCGTACAGAGCGAAGGCTCCGTAATCATTGAGCGAGTGCTTGAGCAAGGGGAAAGTTTTAACCACTGAGAATACTGACAAATGAGCCACGCACGTTGTCATGCCCCCAATTATACCGCGCACCTGAAACAAAATAACATATTTCAGACTCAAGTGGGCCAAATTTAGGATTTAATACGTGGTAGAGCCATACTGCAGTTATACCTAGTCAGATCATAAGTTCTGTCAAAAACTTTTGATTAAATTAATGATACACTTTTTGATTATTATGTAGAAATTATATATGAAATGAAAGGTAATTTAACTTAGAATACTATTTTATTTACATTATTCAAAATGCCCTCCCCTATTTTGAATACATGCCCTTAATCGACGCGGCCAATCATCAATCGCAGCACGCACCACACTCATATCTATTTCTGCCACTGCTACAGCCAAAGATACTCAGAGGGATTCCAAATCCTGATGCGGTTTAGCGCAGACTTTCCCCTCCAAATATTGTCATATCTTATAATCAAGTGGGCTTAAATCTGGACTAGAAAAGTGATCTGGACTAGAAAGCGATCAACCAGTTTTGCGTGCTTTGTGCCTTATGAGTTGTAAATGTCTATTTTTGTACTATTTTTATTAGTACGGTATTTTGGTACACCTCGGCACTGGTTTTTACACTTTTTCACAGAAAAACACCATTAGTTAAGCCTGAATACGAGTGACGAAGGATAATGAGCTATTTGAACCCTCGGAATACGCGTGCTGGCTTCTTCACTGCTGTGGGCATACACCTTATCATTTTGTTTATTATAACTTTCTTTGATGTTGAAAAAATTTTCACCCGAAAACAATATTTCGCGGTATTTTTTCCCGCGTACCGCCGTAACAAAGCGCGGCATCTATCTAGCCCATTGAAGTAATATGTACTTACGTAATAGAACAGCTATTTCAAACAAAAAAAGTGCGCTACTCTGTGTTCCCGCGGTTGTTTTTTTATCATAGAATAAACATAGGTATAATGATCCGTAGGTAATAGTAGATTGTATTGTTAAATAGTTAAATTATATCAGGAACATTTTTTTAAATTTTGTCATTTATTTTGAATATTACATTTGCTTATTTAATATAATATTGCATAATATTATATCACAACTACATTTTAATGATATTTTTGTCTCAATAAAAGTTATCTATCTCAAATATCAAAAAAACATACTAAATATATGTTTAACAAAAATTGTTAATATAACATTTAAATTACAAATGTATTTATTTAAATTAGAATAAGAGTCGTTTATAAATACTGGGCACGCGAGAGTTAAAAATTGACGAATTTATTCCACTTTGACTTTGATGTGGAAACCTAAAAATAAAATATAAGAATAATTAGCAGATTTAAATATAAAAAATTTGGCCTAATTATGATAACTCATACGTTTCTACAAAAAAAATGTGTATAATAGTATATTCGTCTTATACTTAAGTACCCACGGAAATTGTCAACACTGCATCCTGAACAAATTAATTTCATAATCTATATTACGTGACACGAGATGGCGTCTTAGGAATAATTTGTTTTATTACTAATTTATAATACTTTTTTATTGATTAAGTATCTTATTAACCAATGAAAAGTAATTCCTTGATTTTTACTGACGTTTCTTGAATTATTTTTGCAATATCTAAGTACGCACGAAGACATATTTTTATCACGAGATTTTTTTTTAAATCAACACAACACATGTCAACTCTACAAGCGCCTAGCGAGTGACTGATTAAAGTGCGGTGTATGCACCGCAGTTGAGTGAAACATAGTAGCTGAATGCAGTGTCGCCTCTAGTACGAAGTACATAATAGCTCAATGATCCAGCCTCATTTTTTTCAAACGCTCGTTCAAAAATGTACGGTCTTCTTACGATAAGCTCGTAGTCCTAGGTCTTCATTGATCACTCATTTGACCGTGGTTCTGCTTAGACCCATCTGTAGAGCTAAGATTTTTTGTTTACGAACAGGATTTCGTTAGATTCTCGCCTTCACTGCTTTGATGATCGCGGGTGTCCTAACTGTACGAGGTCGGCCGGTCCTCTTACGATTTTCGAAGCTTGAATCTTTACTGAATCGTTTGATAGTACAATAAACAAATCGTAGGTTTATTTTCAATTTTTGGAGAATATTTAAAATCTCTTTTGGCGCGTACACACAGCACTGCAATGCGATAACCGCTACTCTATCTTCTTTCTTTCGACCACTCCATTTTTAAAAATGAATGAAAAGTAATGTATTTTTATTTTCGGCAATCGCAAACGTTATATTTTTAAAATTAGTGTTCATCTAGCCAGTATTCATTTTTTTTAAATAATAAGGTTTTGACAGAACTTATGACCCGACTAAGTGTTGTAGTACAGTTGTAGCACGAATGGGTTGGCTCGACCGGGGAAGGACCATGCCCTCACAGAATATCAGCGCGAAATAGTAGCTTAATGCTGCTGTGTTTCGTATGGTGATTAGAAAGAATCAGAGACCATTTTTACTGGAAACCAGGTATTTTATGTTAGTCCTCAGGGGGTCAACACTTTTGCATTTTGTTTCGTAATCGAGGATAGATGTAGATGTCTATGGGGCGCAGCAACCACTTACCATCAGGTGGACTGTGTGCTCGTTTGTCACGCTATCCTTAAAAAAAAAGGTTATTTTAACGTCCGAAACTGAATGGAAAATGAATAATGAAATTCCTTTGCATTCAGAAATACGTTCATACTCGTATGTACATATATAGAGATCAAGCACACGAAATATAAGTCAAGCATATGAAACCTATCTACCTCTATCAAAAATCACTACTGAACAAAGACCTCCCAATACATTGCTTCATAGGGGAGATATTTGCCATAGTTGCCACGCTTGCCAGGCGGGTTGGCAAACGCAGTTTTTTTATTTTTTATTAGTTATAAGGAAGACGCTGCTGCTTCTCTCCCGGTTTGTTTCGCTCCGTCGCCTCTTACGAACACAATATGGGATTGAAGGTATTCTTACACCATCACTACACGATAAAGCTAATATAGACCTGTTAAAAAAAACGAAAGAATTTTGATCACGGCAAGCTTGATATAGATATCATCTGTGGAATGATAACAACATTTTGAACGATAACAACGTTCTACTTTAGTAATCATATTGTAAGTTATAACTGACTACCTCCACCTACCATTGTTAGTCATCATCATTACCATTTCTTCAAGCGAAGTGTAGGGCGTCCCCCCACTAGATGGATTGACGACTTGGTAAGATATTCAGGAAGTCGATAAATGCAGGTGGCTCAGAAGCAAGCTTTCGCATCGCTTAGGAGAGATCTATCTTCAGTAGATGCCTTTTTCATATGAAAAGGGTGACGAATGAGCACATGGTAAAGCCGTGCTGCAGTTATATTATGATTTTAGCACGAAGTCGGTTAAACCGGGAAAGGACCAAGCTCCTACAGAATACCAACGTAAAATAGCAGCTCAAAACTGCTGTATATGATGAGTGCAGAGATAGAAATATACATGTAGCATGCCATGTATGAAATGTTAATACATGGACAAATATTTTGGCTGTATTTAATTTAAAAAAAAAATACAAAAAGCAATTACCTGCGTAGGGTACACTTCTCCAATCATAACCCAAGGCACGATTAAGTATCCCAACGTGCAAGCGATCATAAAGATGTAGATACTGGCAACTGGAATCCAGGAGTTGGAGGGCGGCAGGTTGTTCTCTTTCCAGTAATGCACGTAGTACATGTACACCGATAGGGTCACCATTGTGGAACCACAACCGATTGCTGAAAGAGAGCATCTGATAAAAGTGGAATTTTAAACTTGGAGGGAAGGGGGTTATAAGAGAGTCGTTTACGCTATATGTAAATTCTCCAGACCGGCGACGAGGCAGCAACTTAAAAATTACTAGAAATACTTTGCTACGAACGCCAGTTTACGGATTTATTTATTTATACTTATTATGATTCCCGAGGTTTTGGGTGTATTTACATCGTCTGAGAAGTAGAATTTCTAAAAAGAAGATGGCTGAGGATCCTGAGTAGATGGTATACCCCATCTGCTTGGGATCCTTCAATGAAATTAATTCCAAACCCAAGCATACCACTGCTCGATTTCAAAATGCTGTAAGCTCGGGCAAAAAATTAATATTCAAGGCAGTCCAGGTTAACTATGATATTGGGACGTCAAATACTTCAGTCACTCCCGTGAATATGGGTGCTGTAAAGCACCAGAACCGCTGGGAATTAAAATAAGTAAAAATAAATTAAATGCGATAGAATCTGCAAAATTAGTTTAATGTATGTGATATCGTACGTGTAAATATAAGAAAACATTGTGTGAGCCAGTCCACTAGCCAAGAGTGATGATTGTGGAAAATTGCTACAATTTGGATGGCCCATGTTCTAATATAATAAAATATCTGAATAAAAATAAACAAATACAAAATTAAATAGATACATTTAAATTTTTAATCCTATTTTTTCTTGATAACCTTTTAGTTAGATTTAATTTTGTTTTAAACTAATTTAATTAGTGTAATTTAAAAACTAAAATAGTAATTAAATATCCCTAATTTTTTTATCGAAAACAAGGTACAATTTTTGGACAGTCAACTTTTAAATTGATTTTTAATTGTAACATGAGTACCAACCTGAAACGAATGTAAGCAACCTCCTCCCACACCTTCTGCACAGAATACATCCGACCACAGTGAAAATTAATCTAATGATACCCATAGATATGGTTAACCAGTATTTGTCCAAAGAGGCTCCCGACGCCTGAAAAGAACATATTTTTCATTAATGAACGTATATACGTAAATAAAAACAGTTCAGCTCACAAAGGTAATGGTCCATTAGGAAGTACAGTCAGACTTAAATGTATCTTTAAAAAGATGATAAATGTAATAGGTTGACACCAATTTGAACCACAATGACCATGAAAAGCCCTTCAAAAGAAATATATATAATAAAGATATATATAATAAAGAACTACATTAATCCCAAAAAATTAAAAAAATCATTTACCTCAAATACTTCTACGGCATAAAATGTGATGGTATTAACACCACACCACTGGTATATGAAAAAATATATTGCTAATATTGTAAAAGGTTTAAGCGCTGAAGGCGACAGTAACGCTTTCAAAACTTCTTTAGGCGTTTTCAATCTGTGAAAATGAAAAAAAAAATATCTTCATTTTGTACTAGAAAAATATTAATATATACTTAATATATTTAAACAGTCCAGCCTGGGTTCCTTACTGTTTTTTTTTAGGACAAAGGAAGGATGGAACTTGGAGGGTATTTGCTGAATATGTAGTAAAGTTACAGCCTATATACGTTCCCCTGCTGGTTACAGGACTCCTCTCATTTTTGACAGGGTTTTAGAGCAAGGAAATATCCACTCCGCTGCCCCAATGCGTTTTGGTGAACTCCACATGTCTTCGAAATATTTTTCATGTTTTTTTAATAGGATATGGTGACAAACGAGCACACAATCCACCTGATGGTAAGTGGTTACTGTGGGGCATAGACATTTACATAATATGTGTATTCTCGATTACGAATCGAAAGGCAGATGCGTTCTCACCCGTGAGCACTAAGATGAAATGCCTCGCTTCCAGTGAAAAGGGTCTCCGGTTCTCTACATTCACCATACGAAACATTAAGCTACTATTTTACGCTGGTAATCTGTGAGAGCGTGGTCCTTCCCCGGTCGAGCAGCACCCATTCGTGCTACAACTATACTACTAATATAACTGCAACTGGCCAGGAGGCATTTTAATATTTTACTATATGTAGTAAAATATTAAAATGCTTCCTGGTGTAGGCAGGATTAGCCTTAATTTTCATGCTTGGCAGGCGGAAGACCTTAGGAGTACCTAGTAGACGTCTCACACCCTTGAAGCTATTGCCCGTTGCCGGTCTGGAAATCTTACATATGCTAATCTTATATATACTATAAATAGCCTTATATGGGGCCATATTTACCAGAGTCACCACGTTTGGCAAGCGAATTGGCAACCGCAGTTTTGTTGTTATTAATTTGAGTTGTTATCGGGAAGATGCTGCTGCTCATCTCCCGTTTCATTTCCCTCTGTCACTTTTTACGACACCCACGGAATGATATAGGTAATGTGGGTTCTTAAGCCTCTGACGTGAACAAGCTGGTTGTACCGGCATCTATTGGAAGCCATAAGCCACGAGTCGAAGAAGGGTGGATTCTTGCACACTGCCACCACACGACAATAGTCAATATAAAACAAAAATTTTGTAACCCCCCCCCCCTCTTTTGAAGTCAAGTTTAGTAGTTAATGTAATCTCTACAAAGAGCCAAATTTCATGTTTCTATTGTATCTTCGAGGTAAGAGTCTGTTGGTTTTTTTTCACGCTAATACAAGGGTTAAGTCATCACTTAGCACCAGGTGGGAATCAAGTGCGGCCTTAACCACCACTAATGTTTTGCCAATAAAGAAAAACGAATAAAAACCCGTTTTATTTTAATGGAAGTAGAGATTTTCTTACGTGGTAGAGTCATGCTGCAACTATATTAAAGTTGTAGCAATGGGTCGGCTCGACCGGGAAATGACCACAACCTCACAGATTACAGCGTAAAACAGCAGCTCAATACTGCTGTGTTTTGTATGGTGGGTGTAAGGAACCGGAGACCCCTTTTACTGGAATCGAAGCATTCCATCTTAATACTCAGGGGTTACAACGCATCTGCGTTTTGATTCTTAATCGAGGTTAAATGTAGATGTCTATGGGCCACAGCATCCACTTACCATCAGGTGGACTGTGTGCTCGTTTGTCACCCAATTCTATAAAAAAACCATCACTAATGTTAGCTAATAAAGAAGAGGAACGCATAAAAAACCTGCGGGTTTAAGGAATAAAATGTTTACACGTTTTTTTTTTGTAAATGGTAAATATATGGTATGGCAAACATTCACACACATTGTACACAGTCCATCGGATTATAAGTGGATGACGTGGATCAATGTCATGCCTGAGGACTAAGGTGGAATGCGTCGTTATTAGTTCAAAAGGTGTCCGATTCTCTTTCCGATTCGGTCTGATTCGCAACATTAGAAACACAGCATTTTACTGCTATTTAACTGGTATTCTAGACGAGCATGGTCGATCCCCGATTGGTCGATCAATATGTGTAATAAATCAGATATTTATTACAGAATATATGTACCACGTATAATTATTTTAAAGAAAATCATCAATGCTTTTTGTAATTAATTATTAATTTTTAATTTCAATATACATATAAAACAAAAAAATATATCATCGACAATCATTCATACGGTTTATAAATGTAATTTTTGTGTTTGAAAGGTTCATGAAGTAAACACTTGTCAAAGTAATCAATGAAAAGGTAATCAATCATAACGTTTAAAAGTTGTTGGATTTGATCTTGAATATCCAAGCGCTCTACATTAGGCGCTAGGCTGGACAAAAATATCGTATTTAACAGACAATTTAAAGTAATATTACTCAACTACGCTTGGAAAAATCCGTAAAATTGGTTTCATTTGATACGTAGTATACCTAAATAAATAAATACTTTGTTTGCAATTGCAACCATGTTAATCGATCAATAGAATCCTGTATTCTAAACTAGTTATAAAACCTGTATCTTAGATGTGGTTAAATAAAAACATTTGTACAACCGACTTCAATATAATAAAATGAAACACATAAAAAATACAGTGAATTGAGGACCTCCTCCTTTTTGAAGTCGGTTAAACAAAACGAAGAAAAAACAAATAAGTATAACGCAGAAAAAAATTAAAGGAAAGTGTAAATAAGAAATTTTTTTAAATAGACTTACGGTTCAACATGATTCTTCTCTTTGAAATTTATCATTCGCTGGATCTCTTCATCCAAGTTGCATGTTGACCCTCGTAGTTTGGCCAGCGACTTCTCTGCCCTCTCTGGGTTATCTTGTGTGAGAAGGTAGTTCGGTGTCTCCGGGATCAGGATCATGCCAAGCAGTGATATGATTGGAATGATAGCGCTAACCCCCGCAAGAATGTTCCATGACGTCACACTTCCGATTACATACTGTAATGAGTAAAATAAAAGATTTGAGTATAGAATTTAACATAATGTTACGAGCTTAAGGTTCGTGACAATAAAAACTGCCGATTGAATTACCAAAATGACACTTTAATTACTGAACACCAATTAAAACTAACACACACTAATAATTAATCACATTGATCACTTTAATTCACTTTATTTCACTCCGAAAGCTCCGCTCGTATCGCTTATTCAATACTGCCCCGGTCGTGGCCCTCAGCGGCTTTAAATAGGTCTATTCCACCGAAACATCCAGAATGTTCCTGAAAATACCGGTCCCGACCGACTAAGTGCAGAAAGTTCGAGTGTGGACTTTTCCAGAAAACTTAGTTCTTCTATTCGATACTAGATGGAGAAGGAAAGTTCCAGTATGGCATTTTCTGGAAATATCTCCTCGCTCTGTTCCCCGATACTAGATGGCGCTAGTGCCAGATACCAGACATCAACTTAGGCGCGCAACAATAATATTATTTAAGCACATAATCAGTTTTATTTAATATAGATTGCAATTATACTTATTGAAAGTCATTTCAGCGTTACCAATGGTTCGTAAAAACCCTCTGTCCTGCAAAAAACCAGCAAAAAATCAGCGGGACTTTTTATACAATTCATTTAGAAAAAGCATGGTAGCAATCACCTCATTCCCAGCGATACTATCAATCATATACAATTTAGTAGTATAACAACCCTTATTAAACAATTTTTGCTTAATAAAAATTTTAAGCCATTTGATAGACAAGGTCTCTATATTTTCTGGGACTTTATTGTAAAAGCGTATATACATTGCCCCGTGAAAGAATTACTGACCCTTATGAGTTGAGTAACTTGTATAACTATATTTAATACAAAAGGGACTTTTTGAAATATTATATTAAATATAGCTAGTAATTAATATAATATATTAAATAGGACGGAAGGCGTTGTATGTCAGCCTTTGAGTCTGTCGTAATTTGGGCGATGCAACAGTCCTTTCAGTGGTGCCTTATCGGTTGTCGGTTAATCGCAATGCTGTTACATAGCACCGTTGGGCTACGATAGCTATGTGAGTACAGAACCATAGTACGAAGCCTCTCCAAGTGACTTCTTCTAAACTTCGTAACGAGGATATCCGCAGTAGCGACAGAGTAAGCCCGCCCCCCACAATAAACGCTTTGTTGTATTCCTAAGGGATGCCTATGTTGCAGCAGTGCAATCCTAACGGTCTATAATGATGATACCTGCACCCATTCTCTTCTTGCATCTCTTTCCTGGTCATCGAAGTAAAGCGAAGTGTAGGGCGGCCACCCACTAGATGGAGTGTGGGGCATATACTCCTTTATTCCTATATTCCTTTATGTGTGTATTATTATATATTCTGTATGTATTATGTATATATTCCTTAATTCCTTTCCAAGGCTTGTGTTCACCATGAGACATTAATCAGGAATCTACAGTACTATGGTGTCAAGAACACAGCGCTTAAACTAGGTATTTCATATTTAAGTAATAAAGTGCAGAAAGTTATTATCAATGGTAGAAGTTCTTCCGGATGGCCCGTACAGATGGGTGTACCCCAGGGCTCAATGCTTGGCCCATTGCTATTTTTAGTGTATATTAATGACTTATCTTCTTTTGTAGGGGATAATCATGATATAGTATTATTTGCTGATGACACTTCGTTGATTTTTAAACTTAAACGTCAATCATTTAAATGTGACGCAGTGAATAATGCTTTGTCAAAATTAGTGCATTGGTTTAACATTAATAATCTACATTTAAACGGCAATGAAACTAAATGTTTTAAATTAACAACAACAATTGTTAATAATCCGGTACTACTACTAACAATGACTGTACTAATGTACTAACTGTACTACTAATGTATTTTTAATGAAGAAGAACTGAGTCCTGTTGAATCCTCTGTTTTTCTTGGCATCACTCTCGACGCTAAGCTTCAGTGGGGCCCCATATATCTAAACTAGCAAGCAGTTTAAGCTCTGCAGCTTATGCTGTAAAAAAAGATTAGAGACCTCACTAGTGTCGAGACAGCTAGATTAGTTTATTTTAGTTATTTCCATAGCATAATGTCATATGGGATTTTGCTATGGGGAAATGCGGCTGGTTTAGAAACTATTTTTATTTTGTAGAAGAGGGTCATAAGAGCTATTTACAACCTTAAACCGAAAGAGCCTCTTAGAGAAAATTTTAAAGAAATGTATATATTAATTTTGACCTCAGTATATCTACGAAAACAAAGGTTTTTAAAAGTATTTTACACTATGTAAACACTAGCAACAAACACAAGCTAGTGGCATTTATCAATACGAAAGGCAGCGTTGTGGGATTTTTATTGATAAATGCCACCACATTTTAAAAGATTTCGCTGATTGTAATATAATTTTAGCTAAGTCACATTCTAATGACATAAAAATATTAGTCAAACTTTACAAGGTGAAGTTCTCGGATCGCTCACTCACTTCTCAATGTGATTGATCTGGGAACTTTTCATTTTACTTTTTGTAACTAAATGCATATCTTCTTCAACTTTCTGTAACTAAATGCATATCTTCTTCACTTTCTGTAATTAATTATTGATTTGAGAACTTTATAATGATGAGAATTTTATAAATAAGTTTTAATAGACCTAATGTAATTGTTTTTTTTTTGGTGATGAATTAACGGAGCGACATATTCATATTGTGAATAAGCTCATTAATAAAGAATTAAAAAAAACACAAGCTAGTGATACCAGTTTCTCGACTCCATAGAGTCAGTAGTTCATTCTTAGGGCAATGTATACGCTATTACAACAAAGTCCCAGAAAATATACAAGGTCTCTATATTACCAAGTTTCAATGTTTAATTAAACAAAAACTATATAAAAAGGGTTATTATAGTATAAATGAATACATGGTTGATAATTACCGCTGAGAAGTAGTCGTAGTAGTCGCTACCAAGCTGTTTCTAAAATAAATTTTCTAAATATTTTGTGACTATTGACATTGTAAAATTTATTTAAAAAAATGTCCCGCTGGTTTTCTTGGTGGTACTTCCCAGGACAGAGGTATTTTTTCGAGCCAGTGGTAAAGTAAAAATGACTTCTAATAAGAATTACAACATTTTATCTATATTGATTCTAATTTATTCTATTCTATTCTATAGAGAAGCGGGGTAGCCGCTTACCGGTACGAAGCTGCCACTTAAGAACCTTTTTTCCCAATAATACATGATTGATTACAAATGGACATAATGCTTTAATAGTAAAAAAAATATTTTCTAATAAATATGTGCTTTAGTAAACAATACTACTACCAAAATAATAAAAAAATTCAAAAAACTTATTCATGAATTTTTTCCATACAAAATTGATTATTTCTATTTTTTTTCTCTTTTGACATTTATTAAAATTGCACTATCAATTATGATTTGATGATAGACCTCGAAATCGATCATAGTTTGACAATGCAGTAATATTAGTTCAGTATGGTGAGTGTAGAGATCCGGAGACCCTTTTTTAATGGAAACGAGGAATTCCATCTTAGTCCTCCACATTAGTCCTCAGGGGTGACAACGCATCTACATTTTGATTTTTAATTGAGGATAAATCTAAATCTCTATGGGCCACAGTATCCACTTACCATCAGGTGGACTGTGTGCTTGTTTGTCACACTTATACTATTAAAAATTGTTAACATCTTATAATGTATTACTTGTGATCAACACGTAATATTATTATTATTATAAGAAAAATATGAATGATATAATATAATAGAAATATAATTTATTATTTGAAATTAGCGAGGCTATCGCATATTCTCCTTCGACGTTAACATGTTTGTTGCATGATTCTTTATCGTATGCTCGTGAGCGACAAATCTAATTTTGTATGCATCAATATTTGACTAGTCATTATCAGTTCACTTACCGTCACGACACTTCATAACGTGACTGATTATTTTCACCGTTACAGGCTACAAAGTAAGCCTAGAGATGAACCTTAGTCTCTACATAACCTTAGTCTTGTCCTATAGGCATAAATATACACCATTTACATGGTAGAGCCACACTGCAACTATATTATGGTTGTAGCACGAATGGGTCGGTCCAGTCACGTCCTACGCGGGCCCCGTCTTTGCCCACGCAAACCCTAATATTATTAATGAACTCCAAATAGTTCAAAACCTTTTCTGTCGTCGAGCTGCGAACGCACCTTGGAACGTCCGTAATGCCGACCTTCATCGGGACCTAGAGCTCCCAACAATTCAACAATTTCTTAAAAAACTCTCTAAGAACTTCTTCAAAGCCTCAGAGTCGCACCCAAACCAATTAATTTGTGAGGCAGCTACTTATGCAGCCCCACCCCCTTCTCGCTATCGAGTCCGCAGGCCGAGAAACTCTCTCTCGGACCCGCCTAATAAACTGACAAACGACCTGAACTGTCTCCTGGCGGCTCAGGCCAACTCTAATTAAATAAAATTATTGTAATAACTAACATTAATTTGCCTTCGTAGGCACTCCCTCAGCGGCACTTAGCCGCCTGCGCCCTCTTTTCCCAAAAGAGGGTCGCTCATGATAAGGCACAATACAGCTTAATCAGCCGGCTGCCTGTCCCCAAAGGCGGTTTTTAGAGGGTATCACTTAGGGTCCCCGGTAGGACAGTGAGTCCCTCATAACCACGATAGACCGGCTATCGTGGTATGCGTAATGCATTTTCCGCCTCCCTACGTATAGGGTAGCCCTTTAATTGCTTCGGGCGCAAAAAAAAAATGGGTCGGCTAGACCGGGGAAGGACCACGCTCTAACAGAATATCAGCGTAAAATAGTAGCTTAATGCTGCTGTGTTTCGTATGATGTGTGTAGAGAACCGGAGACTCTATTTACTGGAATCGAGGCATTCCATCTTAGTCCTCAGGGTGGCAACGAATCTGCATTTTGATTTTTAATCGAGGATAGATGTAGATGTCTATGGGCCGCAACATCCACTTACCATCAGGTGGACTGTGTGCTCGCTTGTCACCCTTATCCTATAAAAAAATATATAGAATTTGTTAGTAAATTGACTACAGTGCCACCTATCGGATTATTTTGATTCTTAATCGAGGTTAAATGTAGATGTCTATGGGCCGCAGCAACCACTTACCATCACGTGGACTGTGTGCTCGCTTGTCACCCTTATCCTATAAAAAAACTTAATAATTTCACTGTCTCATAAGTCATATACGAACATTTGGAATGTGTAGCTATAGCGTCTTTTTCGCGAACAGGGAACTTTTTAAGGCAGGCAGAAACCTGCAGTATACAGAATTATTAATCAAAAAGTAACCAAATTTTAAACCACCAACCACCACCAACCAAGTTCCAATATATAAATAATGATATACCGTTATTGAAATTTTTGATAATACTAGTAAATAATGCTTCTACTTTTTTTTGAAATTATCCCAAATTGAATGTGATTTATGAGCAACAACGTTTTTGACCACAGATCACCCCTTACGAATGTGTACGTAAAGCTGTAAAATCAGTTAAAATAATTCATTACCACGCATTTTGAATTGGATTTATAAGATTAAAAGGACAAAATTTTCAAAATTTTTTTAATTAATTTTTCTTCACCATTTGCCTAAATTACTTATTCTGAACTTACTCAGCTAATTTCTCCATATAGGACTGCTCTATATAGTCTTGCTCTATATAGGGCTGCCGGGTTCCGTCCGGGTTTCCCCAAATTTGTCCTAGTTTGGAAGACGTCCGTGGAGTGTCCGGGCGGGATTTATATTGTAGTCCTAGTAGTAGTAGTAGTCTACAATCTAAGCCAATCACTACAATTTAAGCCCCCGGGTAAAAAGTCGGGTAAAAAGTTAAAAAGGGTTAAAATTAAAGTTTTCTTCTATCAAGTACGGAGTAAAGTATATTTAATCAAGATGTAAATGAATGAAATAAGTATTGAAATGTCCGGGGTGAAAGCTCCAAAATCCGAGGAACTTACGATTCCTGTCCGTGGGCAGGTTTTAGAGATGGCAGCCCTAGATCTATAGCTTACATCAAGCGATTGTATAAAACTATGGTGTTTTAAACTTTTATATTAAAAATTAAAAAGTTTAAGCCATATCGTTGCCCAATAATTTTATTAAGGAATTGTGTAGGTAGCTATAGTATTTTTGTCTTGTTGAAAAGATAAAAATAAACTTAGAAAATATCTTTTTTGCCTTTTGTAGCACATGACAATGCTTTATACCATGTCTAGAAAATTTAAATTTAAAAAAAAAATATTCGTACGCACGCAGTAATCATTCTTGTAAAACACTATTGTAGCGAACTTTTGTATAGCACCTAGCAACAATGTGATAATTTCTAACTAAATTCCTGACGTTGAAAATCGTGATCTGATTGTTACTAAGAAATTTAACATATTCTGTGAAACATTCAAATTAGCTTGAAGGATATTTTAATTTGTGTTCGGGTCTATTTATTGATTGTCGAATATAGGCTATTCTTAAGAGGAAAAATAATTACGAATTTAAAAAATACACCTATATAAATAAAAAAGTGAATTGTTTGACTTTGATATTCAGTCGGATTATAATTTATTCGATGGTTAATTTTTTAAAGTAAAGTTGCCAGCCTTTAAACGTCCCACTCCTGGACAATGGCCTGCTCTCATCGGAAAAACCTCTTAAAAACTTTTATATGATAATTGTAAAATGTAGCACTAAAATTACGTGGTAGAGCCATACTGTAGCTACATTAGTATTATGGTTGTAGCACGAATGGAAGGACCACGCACTCACAGCGTAAAATAGCAGCTTAATACTGCTGTGTTTCGTATGGTGACTGTAGAGATCCGGTGACTCTTATTTACTGGAAACGAGGCATTTTATCTCAGACCTCAGGGGTGACAACACATCTGCATTTTGATTCGTTACCGAGGATAGATGTAGATGTCTATGGGTCACAGCATCCACTTACCATCAGGTGGACTATGTACACGTTCGTCATCCTTAAGCTAAAAAAGTACCTACAGCGATACCGAAAATTTATAACAAATTGAACAAGCAGTAATAAGATAATAATTTTCGTGTTGCGAAATGCACTATCAGCATTCGAAATCATAATAGAAACACTTACAATAACACCTAATAGAGAAACGTTTGACGATTTTTCGAGCCGAGAGCCATGTTGCACCTATATTATGATCGTAGCACGAATGAGTTGATTCAACCAACTAAAACGATCATGAGATTTCAATTAACATTCGTCGTGTAAATTCACTTAACAATAAATCAAACAGAGTTGATTTATTGTTAAGTGGCCGACTCCATTAATCCCTTGTTATATTTTACTTGTTTGTTACTTTGATTACCACATTGACTTTATCATCAGGAACTTTTATGTGGTAGAGCCAAGCTGCAGCTATATTATGGTTGTATCAGGAATGGGTCGGGTCCACCGGGGAAGGATCACGCTCTCAGAGAACACCAGCGTAAAATAGCAGCTTAATACTGCTGTGTTTCATATGGTGAGTGCAGAGATCTGGAGACCCTTTTATACTGGAAACGAGGCATTCCATCGTATTCCTCAGGAGTAACAACGCATCTACGTTTTGATTCTTAATCGAGGATAGATGTAGATGTCTATGGGCCACAGCATCCACTTACCATCAGGTGGACTGTGGACTCATTTGTCACCCTCATTCTATAAAAAAGGAACATAATAATCCTTGGTCTTCAGGACTTACAACGCATCTGCATTTTGATTCCTAATCTAATAAAATAATTTGTATCAACTCACTGTCAGTTACTTCTGTAAGTAAAAAGTTTATAAGGTGTAACTCCTTTTCTACCGACGTGTCCGTCTCTTCGTAAATATTTTTCTGCCACCAAATATCAGTAGTGGGGGTATTTTTGTTTCTTTAATAATATTCAAACCATTACATTACATTGTATTACTAGGTAATAGAACAGATATATAGGAATGAAGAGAGTTGTCAATTACAATCTTCCAAGATGTATCTTAAATGAACTAATTATACAACGTATGCATTGAACTATAAAATGTATCTTAAAAGAAAGTCCCTTAGGATTTATTGCTGATTCTTCCCAAGGCGGGGTTTTTTCCGATTAATTTATAAAAATCAAAAATAAAATTTAAAATGTATTATTTAATATATATGTTGAATAAATACTATTTCATTATATTTTATTTAACAATTACTATTAATATTATCTCACCCACCTGTATTAGAACTCCAGTAGAGACCCCGACCGAAGCTAGGGCCCCTAACATGCCCCGTAGATGCGGTTGTGAGACCTCGCAAGTATACACCCTAGCTGGCGCACCGACCATGCCAGACCCAAAACCGATTAATAACCTACCTGAAATTGTTTTTAAGTTCATACAATTACTAACTCTTCAAAAGAATATAAGTAATACAATCGACCACATTATCCTTACCAATATAAAGCATAGGAACATTTTGAGCAGTCGCAACAAGTATCCAACCAAGAATAAGAGGCACTTCGGTAATAATGAGCGTGCGTTTTCTGCCAATAGAGTCCATGAGGTAACCACTGAGTATACACCCTATAGGTGTCCCCGCCGCACTTAAACTGGCTGGAAAAATAAGTTAATTTTTTATATTTGTTACCATGTTTTGCATACGTGGTAGAGCCACGTCGCTGCTATATTATGATTGTAGCACAAATGGGTCGGCTCGACCGGGGAAGAACCACGCTCTCACAGAATACCGGCGTAAAATAGCAGCTTAATAATGCTGTGAGTGCAGCGTAGTGTAGTGTAGTGTGAGTGTAGCGATCCGGAGATCCTTTTTACTGGAAACGAGGTATTCCATTTTAGTCCTCAGGGGTGACAACGCATCTGCGTTTTGATTCTTAATTGAGAATAAACGTAGATGTCTGTGGGTCACAGTATCCACTTACCAGTGGACCATGTGCTCATTTGTCACCCTTATTCTATATAAAAAATGATTTTTTTTTATCTGTAGTTAGTAAAATATACGTTTATGCAATCTGGTCTCGCAGCTACCAAAAACTTTCCCGACTTTCTGTTTTAAATAATTCATCAGTCTTTACAGAGAGGTTTCTTGTAGAAAACAGCACTAGTGGTAAGATTGTTTATTCACTTGGCTAGGTACCACCCTATTACCTACTGCCGATAACGAGGTACTATCCAACGTTCGTTTAACGGCTCCCGTGGCTTAGCAATGAGTTACAGCGGCTAAGTACCGCGGATTCGAATCCCGCACGAAAAAAGTATTTGTATAGCCTACAAGTAATTGTTCCGGGTCTGGATATTTGTCCTTGTAAACATTTGTAAACTGCCCCCACGATAATGGAGAAAATCCTAGTGTGGAAGTAACGTTTAAAAAAAAGAATAGCAATGCTTGCACTGCTGTGTTTCGAGTTGGAAGGAATAGAGAGCCAGTATAATTGCAGGCAGTGAGGCATTTCATCTTAGTTCTCAGAGATGACAGCGAATCTGTAGCCTGCTTTGTTCTAAGTTGGCCGCAAGTGACCCTCCTGCTTAAGTGACTACTGCTGTCTATACAGCGGTAGCTACTTTCCATCAGATGGACTGTAAGTTAGTTTGCCACCCCCATTTTATAAAAATGACATGACGCGAAACTACCCAGAAGATATTACAATATTTTAAAAGGCTCACAATCATCGTCCTCGGTTTTGGTAATAAAATGATCACCACAAAACCAGCTTCATTACAGTATGTCATTCTTAAGGATCCCTTACAAAAATTTTAATAACGTAAATTTCATATTTGATATCATACAATTTTATATCTGTTTAAATAAATAGTAGTCTTATCACCATTATAAGTCCGGTTACGGTGCTATGGATTTTACCAAAACAAAATAGCTAATAATTCAACTTCAATGCGTTGACCGATAAAGCCAATCAAATAAAGCACATAATCCAGTCAAAAACGACAGGAGAAAGTGATATTTTTTTCAATAGAACATATTTAATGTATGAGAGTATATATTATATTATATTATAATATATACTTATCCCTCCTTGTCCTAGACATTCTTAACAATTGTAGTACGTCGCATTTCATGCCAGCATCACAATTTATCCAAGCGCGCTAAAAAAAATTTAAAGAGCAGTATATATGGCAACACCGTATCAACCTGTCCGTCAATGCAATTTCATTGCGTTTCTTTGTGCCAGCCATCACGGTGTGTTTTTATAATTTTTGTTGTTAAAATAAAATATGTTTAGTGTAAAATCAAATGTTTTGTATCCAAAACCTACTACAAATAAATTTATTACGTATCTGCGTGGTAATAATTGGATGCTTGGGAAAGAAAAATATTCAAAATGGAACAAACAAACCGATCAAAGGTAAACAAGAATCCTATTATTCGAGGTAGGTGCACGTGTATATAAAATAAATAAAATTAAAACACTTATTAAATAATAAAATCAGATTCACTGTGTATCGAAGCATTTATTAACAAGTATGATAAATTATCGAACAAATTCACTATTAAGGTTTAATAACATAACCTCGTCACTCATATAATATGAAATGGTAAATAGGTACTTTTAACCTATAAATGTGGGTTGAGATACATTGTACCTTGAGAAATTTTAAGTGATATATATTAATGTTTTTACTTACTTTCATTAAAATTTACGTTGGGCAGTCGCCATTATCAGTCATTGGGCAAGATTATTCCCACTTTTGACATGCAGGTAGTTTCGGACAGTATTGAAGAAATAGGAAAAGTATAATACTGAGGAGATAGGGATGCAAAAGCACTATTGGCTTAAAACTGCTGGGAAAAATATCTAACATGAGTTATATAGATGCTATATACAGACCGTTAGAACTGTCACTAACAATATATACATGGAATAATGTGTATATAATAAAATAAGAACGAAAAATACTACTAGTAGATATTAAGCGGTGCAGAGAGGCAGAAGTAATTACTGTAGACTTAAAATTGTTGGGAGAATATCTAGCATAAGTTATTTAAAATGCTATGCATTAGAGCTATCATTCATGAGGGTATACATGGTTAACTATTCAGACCTTAGCGCTATGACTTAGAATGTAGACAGGTCTCAATTCACATATAAGATGCTATCATTAGTGGAAAGATATTAATATGGGCTAGGACTCAGAAGATATCACTGCAGGCTTTAAACCGTTAGAGCTATCACATAGAGGATAGACACGGTTGACAATTCAAACCTTAGAGCTAACACTTTGAGGTTAGACAGGTTTGAATTGAAAGCAATATCACTTGAAGGAAGACATTAAGATGGACTACGACTCGGAAGAAATCACTCCAGGCTTTAAACCGTTAGAGCTATCACATAGAGGATAGACAAGGTTAACTATTCAGACCTTTTAGAGCTATCACTTTGAGGTTAGATAGGTTTTGAATTAACATTAAAACGCTGTCACTATAAAGTAAAATATTGTGCGGTACTGAGATTTAGAAGAAATCAAATAAAGATAATTAATGGTATAATTTTTATTTCAAAAGGGCTCAATATTATGAGTATAACATAATTAAAAAACTTGTTACAAGTTATAGATGTAAAAGTACTAGAAAGCCTCACAGGGGTTTGGCAAAAGAAGTCTAAAAATTGTCAACTTAAGAGAACCCCCACATGATCACCGGATATCAAGATAGCAAAATATACCAACATACCAATAATTTGAAAATTGGGGCAGTAGATCCGGAAATTATGTACCCTGAGATTTAGTTGTATACCCTGAGATTACAACTAAACTTTCTTTAGTTATCAGAAAATCCTGATTATGGAAAGAAATAAGTGCTATAAATAAACTTTATTAAGGTGATGTAAACCTTTAACATCCACAAAAAATTGGCAGAACAAGTTAGAAATAATAACTGAATTCTGGGACAAAATTATCCGGTGTGTAAGGGAGAGTTAGTTTACTAGTCCTTAAAATTGTTAATTCCCAAACAAATGAGATTTAATAGATGCATTTTTATTTTCTCGGATTGTGGGCGACTAAATCTAGTCCAGTTTAACCCCCAGAAGACACAAGTTTGCGCGTTAACCGCTAAAAAGAACCCCTTTGTCGTATCTCCTCAGTTTCAAGGCGCTCCCCTTGTTGCCTCAGCCAGTATCGGAATCCTCGGCGTTGACATATCGAGTGACGTGCAGTTTCGTGATCACTTGGAAAAGAAGGCCAAATTGGCCTCTAAAAAGCTTTGCGTACTCAGCAGAACGGGACAGTATTTCATGCCGGCACACCGCCTGCGACTTTACAAGGCGCAGGTTCGGCCGCACATGGAATACTGTTCCCATCTCTGGGCTGGGGCTCCCCAGTACCAGCTCCTTCCACTTGACCGCATCCAGCGCAGAGCGGCTTGAATCGTCGACGACCGAGTGCTTTCCGATCGGCTCGATTCACTGGCACTGCGAAGAGATGTTGCATCTCTTTGCATTTTATTTCGCATATAACATGGAGAGTGCTCTGAGGAATTTTTCGGATTAATCCCAGCCGCCAAATTTCGTGAACGCACTACACGGCAAACGTCCCGATACCATCCACACCATCTGCAGCTTGGCGGTCCACCACAGTACGTTTCAAAAGGAGTTTTCTTCCGCGTACAACCTCTCTGTGGAATAATTTACCATAGGCGATTTTTCCGGACCGATACGACCTGGGGACCTTCAAGAAAAGAGCTTACTCCTTTCTAAAGGGCCGGCAACGTACCTGCAATTCCCCTGGTGTTGCGGTTGATCATGGCCGGCGGTAGTCACTTAACATCAGGTGAGCCGCATGCTCGTTTGCCCCCTGTTGTATAAAAAAAAGAAAAAAAAATCTAAAGACAGTATATTACTACATATTATTTTTTAGACACAAAAAAGCTACATAATATGACCCCTATCAGGCATTTTGAGGGTTGGTAGGCCTATGTGCAGCTGTGGGCTTTTATAGACTGCAATGGATGGATGGATAATATGACATGAAAGTAAGAAAAAATGTAATATGAGAACTATTTTACCTTGATATTGAATATCAAAAGGTTACAAGTTTAAATACACTTAAAATATAAGTAAGCAAAAAGTAAGTAAAAAATAAGCATTTAGGCTGTTTAGAAAAATCTGAAAGATTGAACCAAACCTATTATTCAAATTATATCCCTTGTGATATATTTGGCTCCACACGTTGCTAATGAAACCAGATTTGACAGATATGCAAAACAAAAATAGTATTGTAAGCATCAGATTGAATTACAATAAATTTGTTAAATTATTAAAGAGTAATAAAATGACAACAGATAGCCTGCAAAATTTTTCATGACTTAGATTATTGTCAATTTTAAAAAATTAACAAAATATAATTAAAAAACTCTGTAAAGAAGGTAAACTATAAATTATTATTATTGAGATAGTAAAACCAATATAATATAATAATTATTATATAACAATTAATATAATAAGACGAGAAAATAATATAGAGAAATTTCTGCTGATAGGCAATTAAATAAAAGAAAATCTAGACCATGATTAATTAATTGAAATTAAACATAGGCACATTATTGCATTTGAGCTGTATTATGTAATTTAATATAACCTAAG